GAATAGAAACCAACAAAGATGCAGGCTAAGAGCTTCCTCATTGTTGATAACTACAGATGCAATCATTATTAGGTCCTCGTTCAACTGATGTATTCTAAGTTACAGATTCATATCTCTCTCTTCTTACCCTAGTGTAATTTTAACACGGTTCTACGGTAGGTATGTACTGAGGACCTCAGGCAGTTCCAGTACGTCACCAGGCGATATTTCAGGCTAGGAGTAGACAACAATTCACTAAATTGCCGAAATCTACTGCGGAATAGCCCATAAAGATGATTCACGGCGCACATCAATAGTTTTATTGTATTTTGTACAGACTCACTTGTCTTGTGGTGGGGAGAAGTGGTTTCTTTTTAATAAAACCCGTGTTTTTATCACAAAGGGGTTAGCATAGCATGCATATTATTTTTAAAAGACCATTTTGCTATTACAGAAATGACATTAAAAACAGATCAGATAAAAACATATTTATTTTAATGAGGATCATTTCGATTTTTAGTTGTGAATGCAGATTTATAGGGCTAAGAAATCCTTAATACACAGTGCAAAAATTTTTGTTCTACGACAAAAATTGACGAAGTTATGGCCAAATTACTAAAAAAGTTCACTGACCGCCCGGCGCGGGGACGATGACGTCATTATATCCGATCCGAACGCTGCCGGCGTACTGCGTGGATAGAAAATATTTTTTTCTAGCCAAATTATCAGTTTTAGAGAAAAACTTGTAATGACATTTATTCATCAGAATAAAGTAAGCTATCGATAGGTAATTTTTAAAAATGGAAATTGTGAAAAATAACGCAAAAAATCCATACGCTCATACGATTCAATGGCACGCAGAGACGCGATTGGGGTCTCCGCGGTGGTATATTTGGCGATTTATTCAAATAAAGTGTACATAAGTGTTGTTAGAGTCATATCTTCTTCCAAGTAAAATATAAAAATGTATAAGTATTAATTTTTTTCTAAAACTGATAGTTTAGCCGGAAAAAAATATTTTCCATCCCATTAGTACGCCGGCTGCGCTCGATTCGGATATAATGACGTCACGCGGCCTTGCGTACGTTGACTTTTAGCGGCAAAAACGGCCTATGTTTATTACTTAATATCTTCGTAAGTAATGGTCCGATTTGGATAATTCAAAAAGATATATCTTTCTTATGTCTTAAAGATTAACGTAGATACTAGTTTTATTGAATTTTCTACAACAGTACTGATCCTCATTCACTAACAATAATATAAACATTTCCTAGCTAACCTGTGGGGTTTATCACTTACATCATTCAGTGAGAGACTAAATTCACATTCTTATGGACCTGTGGATACGTAATACGTAGAGTAGGTAATTACTTTTTCAGTATGGGGTATTTATCTATTCTGTAGTATAAGTATCAGGTAATTAGGTAAGATAGGCGTATGACGGTCATTCAGACAGAAACCATGCATTAACACAAATAAAAATTTCCAATTTAAATTGCGTCACATTTAATTTAATTCCCACTAATTAACCAACCACCTGACACCGAGTTAATCTGGTACATTCGCGTGGTTTATGAACCCGTGCAAACAAACCGTGTATCAGGACAGCCCGGTCACCGGGGGCCCATAACTTAAGCGCGCGCCAGATCAAAAAGTGCCTCGGGCTGGAATGGACATCCCCGATTTATATAGGTGCGAGGCGGGGCGATAGTGCGGCAGACAGGCATGTACTAAGGGCGGAATGGGGGTCATTGGAACTGTAGTGACCCCCAAAAAACTACAGGTCTATGCTGATGATCATCCCTTATTAGTCAGCGACAAATAGTCCCCTCAAAAAGTAATGTAATAAATAAAAATTGTTAACTTGAGAGCGCTCTTGATCAAAAAGTGCCTCGGGCTGGAATGGACATGCCCGATTTATTGTATAGGTGCGAGGCGGGGCGATAGTGCGGGAGACAGGCACGGATTAAGGGCGGAAAGGGGGCCATTGGAACTGTAATGAGCCCCAAAAAAACTACAGATCTATCATCCCTTATTAGTTCGCAACAATCTTCCGCAAACAAAGCTCCACAAAGAGTGACAGACATTTAGATACAATGCTCAGATCTACATCATTAACATAATAAAGGTTTATATAATAACTAGCTTTCCGCCCGCGGCTTCGCCCGCGTGGAATTTTGTCTGTCACAGAAAAACTTTATCGCGCGCGTCCCTGTTTAAAAAACCGGGATAAAAACTATCCTATGTTCTTTCCCGGGACTCAAACTATCTCTATGCCAAATTTCATCAAAATCGGTTGCGAGGTTTAAGCGGGAAAGCGTAACAGACAGACAGACAGACAGACAGACAGACAGACAGACAGACAGACAGACAGACAGACAGACAGACAGACAGAGTTACTTTCGCATTTATAATATTAGTTGGGATGAAGCAAAATAAAAATGATTGTTGAAGAAAACTAATATCTACACGTACTCGTTAAATGGAGAGTAGGTTCTAACATACATATTTTAGAACAGTTGCTTTAATCAGTTGATAGCAAAAAGATTCTTTGCCTTCAATACGGCCCTGTGTCTCCGGTAGAATGTAGTGAAAAATAATGGAGGATAAACGCACTTTCCACCGTTATTGCGTTTCAGCTAGCTGTTATAATTTAAATTGTTTAAATCATATTTGATTTAAGTAACATTACCGAAACAACAACACAAATTCAATGTCAATGAACATTAATTACCTATAACATACAAATACGAAGGCAAAATAGGAAAAAAACACACTCGAATTGAGAACCTCTTTTACTATACTATACTTTTGAAAATTGGAAATAATTGGCTCTCTATTAGCGGATTGATTACGTTATTATTGGATGATATCAATATTAAAATGCCGCCGAAAATAAACTACAAAAATTAAACAAATCAAGTCATAACGTGTTTTCGTGGTAAAGATTAAATAAAGTTATAAATCGCAGGTCAACTTTGATCATGTCATTAAAGCGATCAGAGAGTAAATAACATACAGAGTTAAATTATAAGTAAGCTAGAAATGAATTTAGTTATTTACTTACTTATTTCCATATCAGTGATTTTTTAGGGGATTGCACTGAAACTTTACTCATTACAGTGTTTTCAAAAATCGTAGCTATGTATCCAAAAAGTTTTAGATATGTATATCAATGGTGTAACGCGTAAAAAAGGCATAGAAAATAATTCATGGATGGTGGAACAGCCTATATGCCACATAAACTGATAATTATTATGTTACCAATATTTTAGTAAAGCTCTACATTATCTACAAATTCGATAAGTACCCATTAACCCATTTTGAATTTTTTTCAAGTGGAACATTAGTTTAGTGCGATACAAATCCCATAAACTCCTCCAATTTAGCTAAATATAATGTTTGTGTTAAATCGATAATAGAATGATTCGCGTTAATCCCCTTTAGCTAAAATTATGTTTATGTTAAATCCGATTAATGAAATATTTAAATCTACAAAACATATTTTTGAAGTACCGTAATCCAAGAACCGAGCCGTAAAGGGTCGGGCGCTCATATCAACATAGTTTATCGGCACAAACGGATGCAATTGTATGTATAATGGATCTGGTGGAGCACGATAACCTATGGCAATACGAAATTGTGATATCACTCGTAGCCAACAGCTCCTTTGACATCGATGCGCCTGCACCGATAGGAGTTATGCAGTTGGAAACAAGAAAATAGAAGGGAGTAATATAATAATGGAGAAGAAATAAAACTGGAAACGGCAGCTATCTGATTAGACTGACTAGTTTTTTGCCTATTCTACGAAACAAAAACTGATAGTTTTGCCTATTCTACGAGTTATGTAGAGACTACTAGGAGCTTAATCTCTTTACTTTTGTTTATTTTTATGTTTAGTAAAGAGATGATTGTTGCTGTTTGAAATTATGTAAATATAAAAAATAACCAAAGTTATTTTTATTATGTTTGATAAGTGTATTGTATTTTTAGCCATATAAAAATGGAGATGGCTAGCGCTCTACATCTTTTCCAGCATACCTACCTCATTGTAGGTAGGTAAAAATCTACAATTACCTACCTAAGATAGTACCTATAGATTGATAGATTCGATCTATGAAGCTAGTTACTTTGTGTAGAGATCCTTGTTACTTCTTGCATGCCGCGATCCCGACAAATTTAATTGGACAATAAAACATAAGACGATCGTAATGATTTGTGCAGCGGCGATAACGATATGTTAATTATTAATATTATTATGAATGATCATTGAATAACAACGATACGGTTATCGCCCATTGAACACACTTGTCCATTCAGTTGCGGCCTAGATAAACAAAAGGTCTAGATCTAGACTGAGTGGTAGTTTCCAGGAATTGTATCTTAGAGGACAGACCTTACCACGAATTCGATATTGATGACAGATGTTGAAATTAGGAAAAAACATTTGTTTATCCTATTTTTCGTCAATTTTAGCGATAAAAAGTATACGCCAATGTCTTTCTACCAAAAACCAATTGCCAACCATTTCTGGGCGTAGATACTTAGGTAAGCCAAGGAGACTATGATAGCGTTTGATTTCTTTTTTTTTAATCCACAACGAGGAAGCTCTTGGCCTGTGTCTCACCTGATGGTGAGTGACGATCAGGCCGAAGGTGGAAGCGAGCTTCATCCGGAATCCTCAACCACAGAGGAACTGGCTATCTTACCTCTAACACAATAACGGCCGAATACTGAAACACTACTCAAATCTTTCACTCAGCTGACGGGCTCCTAAATTTAAGTATCCTTCAATTTTAAATGGTATTCTCAAACGCCACTCAACGGATTTGAAGCCGTGATCAGCTAAGCAGCTCTCAAATGTTTACATAATGGCAACATTTACCAAAAAAAAGTATGTTTTCATTTATAGCCTGACCAGGAACATAAAAACCCNCTTTCACCTAGAAAAATTTAAAAGAAAAAACAACATTATTTTATACGGATTATGTGAAAGTGAAAACTCGTCCATTAGTCTTATGGAAGTTTTAACTAAGAAAATTAAAGATGACCTGAACATTATTATTGAATACAGAGATATCAACACGGTGTATAGAATTGGCAAAAGTGACACAAATAATGGTAAGGAAAGACCTGTGCACGTATCATTTGTAAACAACTGGAAGAAAATTGAGATAATGAAGAAAAAGAAGGAATTTAAAAACGTCTATGTTTCTGAAGACTATCCTAAAGAAATCCTTGATAAAAGGAGAGATCTACTTCCAAAACTCAAAGAAGAAAGGGAGAAAGGCAAATATGCATTCATAGATTATGATAAATTAGTCATCAAAGAAGGGAAATTCGACAACGGGAAACGCAAACGAAACCCATCAGCGTCACCAAACTCAATTGAACAACCTCGTAAACAACAAATAAAAGGAAAAACAAACAGACTAAATGCATTCAATATTATGAAGAACAGAAGCAACTCCCTGCCTACCGAAGCCCAAATTCCTGAAAAGAAAACATAGGATACAATCATCAGCCACCGGAACCAAACAACAAGTAAGCAACAACGAAATGACACCAGAATCAAAACATTTCCCAAGCCGACCGGTCATCGTGGGGAATTAGACCACTACCCTCCATCTAATTGTAATAAAAATAAAAACAAAAATGAAAGTTTGAAAGTATGTACCTTTAATGTAAAATCACTAGCATCTGTAGAAAGATATCTTGAACTAAACCATGCCCTAAAAAACATTAACTTCGATATTATGGGGCTTTCAGAAGTAAGAAGATTGGGCTGTAAAATTGAAGAACACCAGGATTACATCTTCTGCTACATAGGTCAAACGAAAGGCCTATACGGAGTGGGATTCCTAATCAAGAAAAAATACAAAAATAACATAAACAATTTCGTAGGAATTTCCGAAAGAGTGGCCCTTCTACAGCTGAAGTTTGAACGCTATTCTGTGTCAATCATACAAGCTTATGCACCTACAGAAAAATCACCAGAAATAGAAATCGATCAATTTTACACGGACATCGATGCTGCCCATGCACTAGCTGATGACAAAATCCTAGTAATAGGAGACTTCAACGCTAAAATAGGACACCCCAAAGCAAACCACTATCCAGTCATGGGTAAATATGGATTTGGAGAACGTAACGAAAGAGGTGACCGTCTTATAAACTATACCTACGAACATAAGTTGTCTATAATGAATACATTTTATAAGAAGAAAAGAAACCGTAAATGGACTTGGATATCACCAGATCAGAAAACCAAGAATGAAATTGATTTCATAATGATAAATAACCCAAAACTAATAACAAATGTGGAAATACTAAACAATATACAATTCCCTTCTGATCATAGACCACTGCGAGCAACACTACTGCTAAACATTCCGAAAAGAAGTAGAAAAAACTATGTAGCACCACTTAATATTCCAAAGACAGAAAAAGAAATCAAAACATATATCGAAAGTCTACAAAAACATATGGAAAACAAGGGAACAAACACAAACGACATCCAAACCTATTATAATTTCTTGGAAAAAGGCATAACGGACAGCTTGAAATCAATAAAGAGAACTCAAACAGAACGGCAGAAAATATTTAGTGAAGATACATACCAATTAATAAAAAAACGATCTGAACTAATACGCACAAAGAACAAAACAAAAGACATGAAAAATGAACTTAGCAGAATATATAAAGAAACACACAAATCAATCAAGAAAGATTACAGAAAACACAGAGAAGAAATCATTACAAGAAATATCGTAAAGTTTAGAAGTACTAAAAGAGCATATAAAGAATTAACTACACACAAAAATTGGATACAAAAACTAGAACAAAATTCATTGGAAACTAAATCAAGAAACGACATAATACTTCTTGCAACTGACTTCTACAAGAATCTATACCAAGAAAGAAACAACAGTGAAATTGTAATACAAACAAGAAATGGAGAAAAAACAGATCCAGATCATGTCAAGCCAATTGAAGACTCAGAAATGTACAAACATATAATGCGGCTAAAAGCCGAGAAGAGCCCTGGCTCAGATGGACTGTGCAATGAAGCTCTCAAAACAGCAGCACCTGTTTTAATCCAACATCTGTCGCATTTATTCAACATGGTACTAGACACAGAAACAGTACCTGAACAATGGTGTAAATCAGACATAATTTTGCTTTACAAGAAAGGAAATCCTTTAGACATAGGAAATTATAGACCTATAAGCCTATTAGCCAGCATTTACAAGTTATTCTCATCTATACTTCTGGAAAGATTAACACATGATATTGATCATTTGCAGCCAAAAGAACAAGCAGGCTTCAGGTCGGGATTTAGCACAATGGACCATATACAGACTCTAGAACAAATTATAGAAAAATACCGTGAGTTTAACAGACCTCTGTATCTGGCCTTCATCGATTACAGCAAAGCCTTCGACAGCATCAGCCATTGCTCAATATGGAATGCACTACAGTGTTCAAACGTTAAAGAAAAATATATTAACATCTTAAAATATATATATGCAAACAGTACAAGTAAAGTCAAATTAGAAAAAAGAGGAGAGGATATAAGCATAGAGAGAGGAGTTAGACAGGGGGACCCTCTGTCACCAAAGCTCTTTATTGCTGTTCTCGAATATGTCTTTCAGAAGCTGGACTGGTCAAACAACGGAGTGCTGATAAACGGACGCTATCTAAATCATCTAAGGTTCGCGGACGACATAGTCATAATTGCTGAAACCTCANAGGATTATAAAGACTCCACAGGACTGAAAAGACTCAAGGGGCCTGAAAAGACTCTGAAACCTGAAAAGACTCAGAAGTCTATAAAGATTTGCAGAGGACTGTAGACTCAAGAGACCCATAACTAAAGTCTCTCTAAGACTAAAGAGCTGAAGTCTTTTACAACACTATTCGCGACAAGGATTCAGGTTATATGTATTCTTATGTATATTTGTTGTAAGTTATAAAAACTGATTTAACATTTAAATAATTAAAATAAATACTGGTCAAGAAATTTGGTATTGTTGTAAGAAAGCTGGTCAATTCACCTCGAAACCGCAATGGATTTTGAACTTAAGGTTGAGGTAATATAAAGTTTATAAAGTTTAAAATCAATTGAGGTTATGATGGTGACCCTACATTAGAAAAAGACTGCCCGTTTTCACTATCAATCCCTAATTTTTAAGTGACCCCTGACATTTTGTTTTCATAGGGGTCACTTAAAAATTTGGGATTGATGGTGAAAACGGGCTAGGGCCCGTAATTTATAACAACTCAAATCTAGATTCAATCTCAAGCATTGATTGAGAATTTGAGACTTTATTGGTTGATCTTCAATGCTGACTCCATATTATGTTGGTCCAAACCTCCCAACGCCACACTCCTCCAACGTATCGCTTTAGAAAGTAGTATTGACTCCAACGTTGGGACAAGCTATTTTATAGACATTGGATAGGACGAAAGGTTGGGACCAACCTTGGGGCCAACATATGGAGCCGGCCTAATAGTTCAACCAATCCCAGAACATAATCTATGACAGATTAAATCTACTTTTGAGCGGCAGACCTAAATATGAATGGATACCATTTTTGGCGGTTAATATAAGAAATTTCGTTATTTTTGTTATTATTTTTGGATTGGATCATAAAAGTTTGCACTAAGTAGCAATTAAGGAAAATTTACAATGTTAAAAATGAAAGTTTTGTTCAAAAAGTGCTTTTTGAACGAAATTTTAGCTTAAACATTCAATTAACTAATTATTATTAGGGTAGTGCCTAACAGAATCGTACATTTTTTAAGCTGTAATAATAACTGTGCATATGTTTCAATATATTTTATTTTAAGTATTTACTGAGTTTTTTTTTCAAGTTGTTATGCTTGTCTGCGGATCTTTTTTAATAAATACAATCACAATTATTTTGGTTGTATCATTTTTAATAGTTAACCGACGGACACGATTAAAATTCCAAATACTTTTGAATGTTCTTCAGATCTAATAAGATAATACTAAATATAGTAGAGTAAAAATATCATTGAAACCTATAAAAAGTTAAACGTGCGTTTAACAGTTGTTTAAAATGATAATTGTTATATTACTAAGAGGATAAATAATCAAGTACTTAAATATGTGGAAAAACAAAATTGCTTCACAAAACATTAACGAGGCTTCAACAACACGTTCTAGGTACTACGATACATGGTCAAAATCGTGTTTATTTTTGGTCTATCAGGTGAATTAATAATTCAAGTTTGCCATGTCCTAATAATTACGAAAACTGTTTGAAATATATAGATTTTGTTGAAATTCAATAAATAAATATGCTTAGACATTTTACACTGCGCCTCTAGTCCCAAACTAAGCAAAGCTTGTACATACTTTAATTTCCACCGCTGCAACTCCTGTGTAGCCATGATCTACAGTTTGACCGCGAATAAAAACCCAACCAGTGAAGCTCTTTGTCCCGGGGGAAAGTTAAATTGTCATTGGACCCGCAACGAAATAATCAGAAGAAAATAAGAGTAGTTCGAAGACTATATAAGAATAAATAAAATGGTTTACGGAAACATTTAATATGGTAAGAGAGAGCGTTGCTATGCCCAACTCTTGTATCATCCATATTAATAACGGGCGATGCTTTCCTTACCTATCATTCAATCTACAACGCGATTACCATTTAGACAACACGCTGTAATTGGAGTGGATGGTGGGCATTTTATTAATTAGCTTTGTTTTATAATAAACTAAGTAATGCGCCATACTCCGTCTGCACAGAATGATAACTACCTAGCAGAAATCGCCCCAAAAAAAGGGGGGCCCGAAACGAGCTGTGCCTAGAGGCCCCGAGATGGTTAATCCGGCCCTGCAGAAAAGTATGTCGGCCGTTTGGTGTAGTAGTTTGTAATGCACTACTACTATGCAGAGGTCTGGGGTTCCATTCCCGCGCAATACAAACATTGTGCATGAACATATTATGTTTGTATTGGCTGGGAGTTTTCTACTACAATATGTAGGTACTTATTTACAAACAAAAAAAGTATTTATAAAGTTTATATCCGTCGTCTTGTACCTACCCATAGTAAAAGCACAGGTATAAGCTTTGCTTAGTTTGGGACTAGAGGCAAATGTCCAAGGATATTTATTTAGGGATTAATGTCTTTCACGCGTACGAAGTCGCAGGCACAGCTAGTCTTATTTAAAACAAATGGCAAAAGGGAGAGGTAGCTTAAACCTTACCTAATGACAATTATGATGATTATAATATCGTTATTTCTTATCTTCCAAAATTAACTAGCCGTGATGCGTCTACAATTAAAATTTGGAGTTATGATGACGATTATGTGATATGATTACACGCTGGGCTGTATCTTGAGAATGTAGACAGCACAAGCTAAACATAGCATATTATTTCGTTGCAATAGAGTCGAATTTTCAACAAAAATGTGTGATGTATTTTTGTACATAACCGTTCTTATTATGTTTTAATTTATGTCATAAAAACGCCATTTGTTTGACTACACTTATCAGACCATCACATGCTACTTTCACGGAATCCAAAAATGGAAATTGAATTTTTACTGTTGATAATGGTTGGTTGTCTTTGGAGTATGGGGATTTATGGAATTATTTTACCATAACCAAACTAATGTTTGTGATATAAATTAATTTTAAAATAGGCTATTGTAAGATTGAAGATTTATTTAACGACAACTTACGGATTTAAGTATTTGAAATTGCCTAGCTTACACTTTTACGCACGTATTCACAAACATTACTATGAGGTCTCACAGTGCGCGTGGACACAAGGGTGACACACGAACCAATCACAGAGCTCTAATTCAACGTTGTGCGTTTGACTTGCTGCTTCACTTAAGCAAGCATCGGTTGTGAATACGGGTGTTAAAGTTGCAAGTTTCTCGCATTGTTTTTATCTCAGCCCCAAATTGGCACTGTCCCGAAACAGTTTTGGCGTTTAAAATCTTAGGACGTCTAAAAAGCTTTTCTTAAAAGCATACCTACTACAGGAATTCCTCTATAATTTACCTATCAAAAGCAACTAACGCTAGCCAGGTGGGCTGGGAAGGTCTTTTCTCTCAGTCTCAGTTTTAAGAAGAGAGGGTAGGTCTATTTTACTCTGCCGGGACCATACCGTTAACGGGACTATTCCCATCCCATTTCCCACCGCTGCAACTCCCGTGTAGCCAGGATCTACAGCTTGACCGCCAATAACCCAACCAGTGAAGGTCAAGTTTGTCCCGTGGGAAAGTTAAACTGTCATTGGACCCGCAACGAAATTAATCAGAAGAAAATAGGAGTTCGAAGTTAAGGTACCACACCGTTATGCGAGAATAATGTTTTTTCTCCACCCAATTTGAAAGCAAGCGCTCCTATCATTATTCCAAAAGGTCCATATGATTTTTCACACCATCCTACTGTATTACTAACCCAATTAGTGTTTACTCAACCTTGCATAATATTTACGTCAGAGCCGGGTGCATTTTCATGGGACATTGTCATTCAACGTGGTATCGGACTGTGAGCGGAATTTTGATATTCGCGCCCTGCGGAACACTTTCGCTGCGGGTGTATTCTGTATACTCTATTCCACTATTGACTAGCCTTTGCCTACGGTTTTGCCCGCGTGAAACTCAGTTGTCACAGAAAGCCTAGGCGCAGACCACCGACATTTAGTTGGCCGATAGTTGAGTCGGGCTATTAATCATTATGGAGATGTATGAAAGTGCGCACATTGGATCGGCCAATTCTTCATACAAATTAGAATCGGGCCCAACTATCGGCCGACAAAAAGTCTGCGGGGAGTCAAATACCGATATCGATGTAGGTAAAGAATATGTAGATAGTAGGGTAGTATTCCCACCACAGACTATTCCTACCTTTCCTATGCTTCAGGACAGTTTAAAAGCGGCGCATATTGCCAGCTTTTTTTTTCAAGGGGCTTACAATACTATTCATAATGTTAACTGTTGTTTGTCTTCAGTTGGCTGGTTAATTTATGCGTTGCATTATTTTGTAGCCTGTGTGCTGGTCACATCAGCGTAATCAAAAACAAATTATAGCGAAAGTTCTAGGTCGATGTGAAGCGAAGATGGTATGATGAACGAGCGGACGCACTTTCGCACTAATATTCTCAATAAAACGAAAATATTAATTATGTTAAATTGTTACAAAATATGAAAATACCTAACTTATTATTAAATACTTATTAAACATACCCAATGGTACAATATTTAACGGTTATGGTATTATGAAAAATCAACTGGTAGTAGGTAGGTGAAATCAAAACGTTTCATATGAAATATTATCGAGGCCTACCTAGGTAATTGCATTTTTTTCCAACATAGGTTAAAAGCACATGCGATTTGAAACTCAATAAATAAAATTTAAATAAACTCACATTATTTTCCATGTTGGCTCGTATCTTGTATTTTCTTGAGACAATCTCGACACAGGTCGTTCATTCGTTTCAGCCGAAAGACGTCCACTGCTGGACAAAGGCCTCCCCCAAGGATTTCCACAAAAACCGGTCCTGTGCCGCCAGCATCCAGGCACCTTCCGCAACCTTCACCAGATCGTCGGTTCTCCTAGTGGGAGGCCTGCCCACACTACACTACACTACACAGGTTCAGTCCACGTCTATCCACGACAACTGCCCGAGCAAAAATGATCCGATTCGCCATTTTGAACTAACGGTGTTGCCAGTAAAAATATTGTTAGGCTTTGTTTGCACCATGGAAAAGCGCACAAATAATAAGAGGGGTGATAAAAAACACAATAGTATCACTAAAAACTAATTTGATTAGGTATGTTAATACGCAGAAAATAGAAATCATATTTTATGCAGACCACAAATTACTCAATTTTCTTTAAATATCCCGTAATCTACTAGGTGGACCGACGATCTGGTAAAGGTCGCGGGAAGAGCCTGCATTCATTGTAGAAAACCTTGGGGGAGGTCATTTGGCTGAAATGAATTTTTGGAGGAAATTTGGAGGACGTCTTTTGGCTGAAACGAACGAACGAACGATCCCGTAATTTTAACACCTCCAAAGCAGTCCTAGATTTGTCAATAGGCCGTATAGGCTGCGGCCTATGGGCGGCAGCGTCCTAGGGGCGGCAGATTTCAGATGACGCTTACTCGATTTCAGATGATAAAAGTTAAATAAAGATCCAACTCCATCCTAGCCTACGGGCGGCAAATCTGTAAATCCGCCACTGCTCCAAAGAGTTTTAAATCGAGTTTGAGTCTTCCATCCCTTCAAATAGCTAGATAGCTGCTAGCTAGCTTTACCAGAATAAGGCTCCTAGTTTTAATAAGATGCTGCCAGCCGCTTTATATCGGCTGACCGCCACTCGCGCGCACAGTCCGCCGTTAGTGTCGTACCAAAATGACGCGACTTGTTGTGGTGAGTGATTGCCTTTACGTTTTATTGATATTACATTTGTTAATTAGTAGAGTCAGTGCTGTGTGCGGCGAATTTAAAGGGGTTCCTGGTTCGAATCCGGGAACTATTACTTATTCTGTGTCCGGGATCGAACAAAATGGGTGTCGTGTGAAAATAATATAATAATGCTTTTGCCATTTTCATCCCGTCGCGTAGTGTTAATTACTTATTTCTTGTGCCTTAATAATTATTTTGTGTTTGTGAGAAGTGAAACATTTTGATTTATTTTTAGATATTTCCAACATATTACATTCTATTATTTTAGATATTTTCTTTGTGAAAACTATGCAAATTGTCTCTATTTTTTTAATAATGAGGGGTTGAGCTTTCTCTTCAACCCCCTTTTTGTTTAAGACTTCGTCATTTAACTACTTCACTTAAATCTAAATAAGTTGTTACCAAATATACTGATTTTAGTGTAACTGTTGTATGCCAAATTATATCATTGTTACCACCAAACGTCCTCTGGGAAAAGTATAGTGTGGGCCAAATCCTCCATTTTCATCTGGTGAATTCTAGAGGGCCGTGTTTCCGCTCTAAATGACCTGTGGGCTTAGTATGTTTACATCAACATCGTCCCTAGTGAGAGCGTAAAAAAATAACATTAAATGTATGACGGATTGTACAGCGCCCCTAGCGGAAACTTTCAAGAACTAAAATCTCATATATTTTTGCCCTCTGATAATATGATCTAATTGACTTACCTTTACTTACATTTCCAGATTGGCTTGCTGCTTACCCTACACCTTACCAATGCCACACTCGACAAACTAGACATCCACAAGCTGACAGACGCTGCCACAGCCAAGCTTCACTCCTTGAAAGAAACAGTACACACTCTAAAAGAAAACGCTGCGTACAACATCAAGCACTTCGCAGATGATATCGACCTGAACAACCTCCACAAACTAGACGTCCTACAGATAGGACCAGCTCTAAAGAAGAAGTATGCCCTTCTAAAAGAACTTTACCACAAACCAGCGACCAAAGTCAACGTGGTTCACATCTACGGTGATGAATTGAGCTCGCATTTTGATCACGCACCCTTCGTTAAGTATAAGGAGTACGTAGACGATCACGGTCATCATCATCATCATCATGGGCACCATCATAACCATTTCCATGATCTGCCGTATACGTTGAAAAGGATCGGCGTTTGATTAGTGAAAATTAAATGCCAATTTGACTGCAGCTTTAACTTACATTTTGAAAAACTCGTTTCCATTTTAATGTCTGTTAAGTTTGAAATACCTAGTTAAAATTGTTATTTATTTCAAGTCTTTAAATTGCATTGATTGGTTATCTCTTTTTTGCCAATTTCTTCTCTGATTATTATTACACTTGTTAAATTGTTTTTCTATTTTGTAATGAGTGTTTTAAAATGATAGTTTTTTAGTATCTTTTCGTGGCCATTATGAACGGGTAGGTTTGTTAAGAAATACCAAATTGTTAAGTTAGGTGCGATGTTAATAGACTGTTCTTTCTTGGGTGTGTGGATTGGATGTACCTATTATAGGTTTAATATAAGAGCACGTTATTTAATATTACAATTTTTGTAAACAATAAATAACCTTTTTTTTAAATATGCTTTTATTCGTCTAGAAAATCGATTTGACTCGTCTAAAAATCGAGTGAGTGACTTAATGTAACTGTCCCATCGAGTTATTCTCATCCGATCCCCTGGTGGATTGGTTTTATTTATAATTAATTTGTTTTCTCATCGGATCCCCTGTGTAACGGATCAAGAATAAATGTGTTCTTAAAAGAGACTTTCAAATCTATGACTTTGATTCTGGATTCTGCCTTGAAAGCATGTCTGAAAGAACTAAAAGTGAGATTAATATAATATTGTTATGTTTTATCCTTAGTTTGTTACCAATTTTAAAGCAAATAAATTCTAGTCTATTCTAGAAGACAGAAGCATTGAGATAGGTAGGTACACATTATAAATTGTTTAATTTAATTCAAACTATCTATTACAAAATACAACACAATATCTAACAATACTTCACGATTAACAACGATAAATTACTTTGCAATATTAAGATCACTCATCAGCTTGTCAAAAACATCATCTGTAGTACTCATTGGAAGAAAATCATCCATCAATCCATTCTGGAACTCCCCAAACTCCTCTGTAGACGTATCTGCTAACCCCAGTTCTGTCAATAGCGTTAGATTATCTGTATTGTCACTTTTGACAGTTCCGCCGAGCGTGTCAGAACTGTCAAAGCCTGGTAGCAAAGTTTCTGATGACTCCGTGAAGTCCTTGTGTTTGCTTTGCCTTCTCTTGCGGATTTTGGTGTCTTTCTCCGAGTCTGACAGATCGTGGTATTCTTGCAACTCTTTCGCGTATTCTATTTCTTCTTCGTCATCCTGAGAAGATATAAAACTATGTACTTTCGTATTTATTGACATACTTGATCATTATTCATTGAAAACGTAACTTAAAATAGGTTGTTGTACCTACTTGCATCTTAAAGTAAACTTAAAACAAAACTTGGTCTGTCGATTTTTTCAGGCTTATTTTCAGCCGAAACTGTCTAGTTTCGGCTGAAAATAAGCACACACATAATCAGTCTTGATTATGTGTGACTGGCAAATAAATCAGAAAAATATGGCACACTTAAATTCTCCGAGCAAAGTCACGTACAATATTAAACTTGCGACTTTGGAAATATTTTTTTAAATTCTTGTATTTTCTCGGCAATCAATGTGTTAAGGAAAGTTGTGCAATGATCAGTATTAGAACAAAAGAAACATCAGTCTGGTGGTTGAATGTGTGGTTTCTTACCTGAATGATTTGAGCCGTGGATTTATATTGGAAAGCGTTCTGAGATAGATCTACTTCCACCGGGAACAGAGTCGCATTGTCCTTCAGTTGATCGGCAGTTTCACTAAAACAAATAAGGAATACTTCGTAATATGTCAAGGTCTTCGTTTTATTGCAGTCTAATGTGGTTTTGACTGTTGGCCTTGACTGTTGACTGATGCCCTTGCCTTGGTCAAAACTATTTTGATGGAAAAATCAGTCAAAATTGATATTGACCAAGGGCATTAGTCAAAACCACTTTAGAGTGATTTTTGCAGTCAAAAGTGATTTTGACCGAATATGAGTTTTGACTGTAACAATGATATCTAATGATAATGACGAACATGATAAATACTTCATTCACCAAGACAGACAGCCTAGACTGAATAACTCTTGACTCTTTTGACTATGAAGTCAAGATTGTCTAATATCTAAGAGTAATTATTATCATGATCATAATTACGATAATCATGATCATAATCACGATAATCATGATCGTGACAATCATAATCATGATCATCACAATCACAATCATAATCACGACAATGACGAACATGAAGAATACTTACTTGTGGTAGACCGCTAGCCCGTTGATGAACCTTCTCAGCTGATATGCCACGTCTTGCGTCTTTTTATTCTCCAGCAATTCAAGCTTGACTAGCACATCTGATCTGAGACGGGCGAACCTGGCTCTCGCTTCTTGACGGCAGCGTAGGATTAGTCTAGAACAGAAATAGAAAAACATAGCAAATTATTCAGTCAACGGTAATCTGTTGAGTCCAGTCCAGTTTAACTTTCCCCCGGGACAAACTTGACCTTCACTGGTTGGGTTTTTATTGGCGGTCAAGCTGTAGATCCTGGCTACACAGGAGTGGCAACGGTGGGAACGAGAGGTGGGAATAGTCCCGTTACTATTTACCTACAAGGTGGAACGACGACCTCATAAAGGTGGAAGGAAGAAGCCGGATGCAGGCCGCTACCAACCGGTCAGTATGGAAATCATTGGGGGAGGACTATGTTTAGCAGTGCACGTCCTGTGGCCGAAATGATGATGATGAGTCGGTGACGTTATTATAGCGCTCTTACCATAAACATCTACGGGAGAATCGTATTTTGACAGCTCAAAATTATCAAATGAGCGGACTATAGGGTATTAATGGCTACACAAGCACTCATTTAACTCATTTGCGTTCATAAGTATAGTGCCTAAAATATTATATCAACAACAGACCAGGGCCCCGATTGCGCTAAAAATTTCACCTGCAATGCACCTGGACGACGAACGAAAATCAGCTATTTGAAAATCTGTATCGCGGTTTTGTTTTGGCAGCTAGTTCAAACGATGCTGTTACGTAAACGGAGTGCAACTGTGCCTTTTCGTAAAAGCTGACAGAAGGCTATTTTTACTCAAACGCAAGTCAAGGATTTTTAATACTTAATATTCATTTTTACTTTGTTTTAATTACTTAATTTGTTTTAATAATTAAAACAGCGGATACAAATGCTCTAAACTCACCGGTATTCATAATTCCCAGTCTCCACCCTATACAAGGGTTCCTGAAGAGCGTTGTAGCCGTACTCCTCATCATCCATTTCCTTCACCTTGAGGCAGTACGATAGGTACTCGAACTTGGTATCGGCGTATTTCCTGATCGTCAGCTTTGTGTCTGGTATAGCCTTGTTGAGGTATGTGCCCATGTCTGCTAGAATCTGAGGATATTATTCCCGTTTTCACCATCAATCCCTTATTTTTAAGTGATCCCTATGGTAACAAATAACAGGTATTTTGTTTTCATAGGGGTTACCTAAAAATTAGGGATTGATGGTGAAAACGGGCATTAGATTCCTTTAATTTTTGTTGGCATACTTAGCTCGTAAAGTTTTGGAGTGCCTACCACGGGCCGGAAGACACAGCGTGGGCAGGCCTCCCACTAAGTGAACCGACGATTTGGTGAGGGTCGCGGGTAGAACCTGGATTCGGGCAGCGCAGGACCGGTCGCTATGGAAATCCTTGGGGGAGCCCTTTGTCTAGTGGACGTAATTTGGCTGAAACGAACGAACGAAACCTGTGTTGGGTTGGGAATAAGTGAAAGCTGATAAGTATTCGTTATTGATTCAGGAAAACATTATTGAAAATAAGTCATTTAAGATACGATAAATAAATGGAATACTTAAGTACCTACATAACTTTCACCACCTGCCTTATTTCCGGAAACAATCCTTTTTAGGGAATAAATATAACGTTAGTAAATAACTGTAACCTCAAAAGACCTAGAGGAAATGATGAGATCACTTGATAATGAAAGTTCAAAAATCGGCTTAGAAATGAATATAAATAAAACAAAGATAATGACTAACAGCCATAAAAGACCCATAGAAATAAAAGGTAACAACATAGAATATGTCAACGACTATATATATTTGGGAAAACAACTATCTTTTAACAAGTTCAATAACGAAGAGGAAATAACAAGAAGAATCAACATAACCTGGAAGAAATTTTGGTCACTGAAAGAAGTCCTAAAAGGAAACTACAGCATGCATCTAAAAAAAGTTGTTTTCGACACTTGTCTCTTACCATCCTTACTTTACGGCTGCCAAACCTGGATATACACAACCAAAGTAAGACAACAAATTAAATGCACTCAAACAGCAATGGAAAGGAGCATGTTGAAGATCAGAAAAATTCACAAAGTTAAGAATGCGACCATCAGACAAAAAACTAAAGTTACAGACGCTCTAACCCATGCTCTCACACTTAAATGGAAGTGGGCCGGACACATCTCACGATACACAGACAAGAGATGGACCATTGTAACCACACGATGGAAAGGCCCATCAGGGAAAAGAAATGTTGGAAGACCATTGAGACGGTGGGCTGATGATATTATTCAAGTAGCAGGAAATGATTGGATAAATTCCGGTAAAGACAGAGAGCTATGGAAGACGATGGAGGAGGCCTTTACCCTTACAGGGGTCCATATTTCAATCATAGATACTAATTCAACTAACTAACATAATTTAAGGAAAGTCACTAACAACATTTGAAATGTAAAATAGAAATATGGAATAAATGGCTTTATTATTATTATTATTTCTCTTAAATATTTTTATCTCAGCTTTTAAGCTGGTGTTCCGGATAGCACGGGCCAAAGCCAAGTGATATCTGGTTAAAGCTAATAATTTCAATAGTGTAAAATTATTATGGGTCCGTGTTGATATTTCCAGTTTCAGGAACAGTTCTTCTTTGTACTGGTGGTGGGCGGATTTGGGTAATTTCTTCAACCTGTAAAAACTTCCTAACTATCCTACATGTGTTGAGTATGACAGCTTTTTGCAATTGTATGTAAGTGTGTTTTGAGAGATTGAGTGTATCCAGAGATTGGTGTAATTGCTTAGGTATTATTCCGGTTGTAGACAAGACTATTGGGACTATAGTGACTTTTTGCAAATTCCATATCCTTTTAACTTCTTCTTTCAGATCAATATATTTGCTTAACTTTTCAGCTATTGTTGATTGTAAATTGTGGGTGTTAGGGATTGCGATATCTATAAGGTGAGCTGTTCTGTTAGTTTTGTCAACGATTGTTATATCTGGTCTATTGTAATGCGTGGTCTTGTCAGTCAGTATGGCTCTATCAAAGTATAGTTTATGGGTGTTGTTTTCTAGTACCGTTAAGGGAGTATATTTATAATAAGCTACTGGGGGTCCTTGTAACAGTTTGAACATTAAAGCTAACTTCTGGTGAATGATGTTTGCAACTTGATCATGTCTATGTTTATAATCAGTTTGGGCTATGGATTTACACGCACCTGTAATATGTTGAATAGTCTCAGAGGCACTATTACACTTCCTGCATAAATCTGTAGGTAGGTTGTGAGTTTTCATAATATATTTTTGGTAGTTCCTTGTTTCTATTACCTGGTCTTGTATTGCTAGAATGAAACCTTCTGTCTCTGGGAACAGTTCGCCACGATTTATTATTAATATTTTTCAATAGCGTTCAGCTTTATTGCGTTCTTGCGATTAGATCTAGGTATCTCCTCGAGGCTCGAAAGAAATGATAACGATGACACAGACATTATTTACCACTATTTAGGTCGATTTAGGTATAAAAATAGAATTTAAGATACCGCGCAAGCACTCTCAAATTTAACGGCTGCTCAAGACGATTTGACAGTTGTTTGAGTAATGCTTAGCGTTGAATGGCGTTTCAGTATGCGAAAATTCATTTGAGTGGCGTTTGAGTGCAACTTAATTTGAGAGGTGCTTAAAAATTGAGAACTACTCAGATATTGTTTTGATTATGCGAAATGTAAGTTTAGGAGCTGCTTAACTATTTGAGAAGCCGTCAAATATTTAAATGGCGTTTCAGTATTCGGCCGTAATGCTGTTAACATTGTTGTTATGTATGTTTCTACATATCGAATTAATCAAAACTGGTTCAGTTGTTTTTGGTTATACATTAAAATTACTTTAGCATTATTAATAATTCATTGGATGTCAATTGAGTCTCTGTTATTCTGATAGTGCATAATTATGTAAGCAATTTTCATGTACCTATGAAATTATTATTTGAATGACAGGTAGTATTTGAAAAAACTAGTTAACTTCTAAGTTATAGATGAGTATTGAATGTGATATTAGTATTCAACCATAATAAACGCAATTAAAACGCATCCACACGGTAAAAACTAAATTAGAACAGTTTTTATTAGTTGCGAATAAAAACAGAAAACTAACAACTTGTAACATTCCATTAAAGTCCGCTCAAAGTGTTAAATAATGAAATAATTACTACCCTGCCGTAACAAGTGCCCTTTCAATCCCACAAAGAAAAAGGTAATCAATTCGATTAATTCCAGCCGAAAATAACGACTCCATTGCTCTCTCAACGAATAAATATTAAGAGAAACCCACACTTTATTTATTTCTGAACGTTTATTATTTAAAAAAAGAGAAATGGGGCTCGAAATTACGTAGGTGTGAAAGAGATGTCCGCAGGCGTCAAAATTATCTCGAGGAGCTATGGAGCCCTGTCAAAGGTACCTGTGTGTGAGCAAGATGGGTGTATGCAGATGAGTGGACGTGGGAAAGGTAGGCGTGATATAAAACATGGCCGTGGAGGTGAAAATTTGCATTTTATCTTTATAGATCTCTTGGTTAATTGAGAGTGCGAATGTGTTTTGTGCACACGTTAATTACCGATTGATTAATGATTACTCGCTACTGTCCATTATTTCTGCGATAAAAATCGTTATAGAATATCGATCATGGCGGGATGAGCGAAGGTTACAGTTACGATCTCAATTTGTATTTTGCTTTAATGTCTTTCTTAAATTAAATTGAACTTGCGGTTATTAATCCTTGTAGTAAGTATTTTATTCGATTATTTATCAATGACATTATGGTATTCTGGTTATCCATGCTCGTTTATTAACTGCGTTATTTATTGAAGTGAAATGTGTTTATGGGCATGTGCTTTTTGTGCAGATTATCAATTGAAGTAAAATAATTACAAACGTCCATGTGTGCAGGTCAAAATGACATCATTTTATTTATGATGTTTGTAGGTTAGGTACCCAGTGATGTTAAAACATGTCTCTGACCTCCAAGAAATTATAGTTCTTTGATGGCTTACGTCGCTCAGCTCATATATAGATGACCCACGCTGAACTGTCCCGCCAAACTCAATGACAGGGGGGCGCTACCATCGTTCAACTATATGGTTTCCAACATGGCAAAAATCGGAACTAGCGATTCGGTATTGACGGTGGCGCCCCACTGTCAATGTCATGCACAGGACAGTTCAGTATTTTGGAACTATACGCTCAGTCATTAAGCTGAAATGATGCGTCATCAAGTTGCACAGATATTGAAATCTCATTTTTAACATTAACATCATTGAGATCGATCCTCGTTTGTTCTCTTCCAACGGCTCTACCAATTAACTTACCCATTTGCTTTCGTATTTTCAGTACGGAATCTTAAAATGCTGAAAACAACTTCTAGGCCAGTAGAATTAAACACAAAAATTGATTAAATCGGAAATAATTCCTACAAAAGATTTTTTTGCTTTAATGGCTTCATTGGTTGCCCATTAAGACTCTCCTAAGTTTTCGACTTCGACGGAGTTGTGCTTGAGTGGTGGGGGCCCCCGAAAGCGGCGTTTTTTCGGTTTTCCGGTTATACCGCGTAAAGGACTTACCCTATCAAAAAGTGGTCTTCATGACGGTTGAAGGGCACTTAATCCTGCATTGAATAAGACCAAATTCATTTGTTTTGGACAAACCGTTCTCGCGCTAAAGTTCGGCAAAGTAGAAAATATACGTATAATTAATGACCCTCTCCACGTCCAATGGTTTGTTACCCCCAGGCTTCCAAGTCTTGAAAAGGGCCACCTCAACCACTGTAACCCTATCAAGGCTCACGAGTTTGATTCGCTTATCCTTGTTCGTCCCAGCCGTTCCTTAACTGCGGTTACTGCACCTCTTCCTGACACTCTCCTGAACGACTCTGTGTTACCTAATGTGGCTGCCTCTCTTCCTTGTACCCTCCTGTACGATTGCATTGCTTAGCTATATGCCTGGTCCAAGGTTCGACGCCACAAAATCAACTTTGTACGCGTGAAAATAGTTTAAATACTATTTTCCGTGCTTGCAACATTTTTCTTTACTGCTTCGCCTCTATTAGTCGTAGAGTGA